ACTGCCGTGCGAGCTGCCACCCCACACGCCCGTGCTGTTCCTGCGCTCCCGGGCCCTGCGCCGTCCGAGCAGCGCTTGGCTGCTGCCACTGCTGAGGCAGAGCTGCCTCTATCAGCAGCTCCCAGCTCCCGCTCGGGGCATCTGGGGCTTCCTCCCTCTGCCCCGCACCGTGAAGACGTTGGTCCTTCGCAGGTTTTGTCGCGGTTTTGCCACTTTGTGGTGCTGAGCATTGCATCCCGATCCCAAACACCAGGGAAGAGAGAAAGTCTGGTGGGTGCCACTTCTATTAGCTTGGGCAGCCGCAGGAAGAGAGAAAGGTGAGTGGGGTCAGAGGTTGGGAAGGACCAAAGGTGGAGACTAATAACATGGGCAAGGGCTTCTTTTCCTCCATCCCACTGGTTTCGTAATAGAATATGCTTACTTACGCGATATCAATCAAGTGTGTTCTCGATGTTTTCATTGACATACGTTGTCCCATAGGCCTGATGCCCCTTTTGGGATGTATAGGACCTGCTAGCTGTGAGCTAGATGACCCGTATCTGTGGTTTTCATATATAAAAATCCTGTGCAGGATGCCTGGGAGACAGGGGGTGAAGGAGAGAAAGGAAGAGAAACATGGAAGAGAAGAGCAGAGTGAAATGCTGGACCTGTATCACTACTCGGGATAGAACATAGTTGTGAGCCATCAAAATTGCTGGTCTGTCACAGGTTCAGTGGTGACTTGGCAAGTCCCTTTATCCATTGGTCTGTGTTACTGGTAAAGTATCGCCCTGCTTCAGCTCGGGAGCGAGCCCTGGCAGTGGTCAGGTTTGGGTATCCGTGGAGGCAGTCATTCTTGCGGCTGTGTGTCACGTAGACCAGCTCGCATGACCTGCAGCTTTTCTTAATGAAACCAGAGAAGGGCCTGCAGTGTGAAAGCCCTCGGGCTGAAATACCTATTTTGGGACAAATTTTGTAGAGTTTTTTTAGCAGCACAACATGCAGGAGGGTCTGCAGATAGCTGTAATAATTCCTGCTCACTCAAATTGCAAAGCATACCACTATCAAAATTTAATCTGGGCTCTCTGGAGCATATTTCACTCATTTTCCTTCATCCTTTTGCTTGAGATAAATGAACCCCTTCTGGGCCACCAACCACCAGAATTCATAAGTCAGTGTTTTACACCCGGGACAAGGAATGTAGCAGAGTGGCACTTTATGACCCATCTCTCATTCTCCTCCCTTCAACGATCAATAGCATTTTCAGCATACGTCTCTATTTAAAGTTTACTTACAGCTTTCCCTTTAAAATGAGATGACAGCAGTCATTTTATCGCCCAGCACTCCTGAGCTGCCTTTGTTCGTAAGACACCACGCTTTGGCAAAAACTGTCTTCACTTGGCAGGATGCATCCTGGGAGCGATGCTTCTTGGAATGGGAGAACCTCTGGTGAGCGTCACTGCTGAGCCATGCTGTGTCTTTCATTCTTACGCCTCCAAATTCATGCCTTTTGGTAATAGACCATTCAAATCTGTTTTGTTTAGCCATTCACCTTTAGTGACAGTGATTCCTCTCGCAATGCTGGAGGTGCACACGCAAGGGGAGGAAGAGAAAGTAGACAGATCTGGTTTTTTTTTGCAGCTGGATTAGAAAACATGCAAGACATCCAAATACACGTGGTTTTCCTGGATTTTCCTGGTCTCCTCTTGATCTTCTTGGGGCTTCTACCCAACTACAAACCCCTTTCTTTCCTCTAAAATCCCTGAAACAGCTGTGAGTTAGTTGCTGAGGTGGCTCTTTTCATTTGGACTTAAGGACATGTCTAGCAACCGTTGAGAAGAAGGAAGCCCAGTCTCTCTCACCGAGTCCCTAAATTGCATGATGAGATGCCATGGAGTCGGTATGGCATGTCCATATTTATAGATCAGTAATTCCTCCAAATTACTACTCCTGCCATCCCGTGGCCTGCATGGCCCTTGGTTTCAACATCTGTCACTGTAACATGAATCCTGTTGTAAGTGCTGACGTGTGCGTCCCACGTTGCAGTTTCGTCCCATGCTGAGCTCCAACAATTGTAGGTTTTGTGATTATTGTGTCTTGGCCTATCTTGGAGGCCTGAGGCATCACACAGAATCATCTTCCTGCTTTTCTAACTACCTAACTCTCAGTCATTTCCCAATCTTAATTTATACATATGGAGACATAGCATTTGCTGCTGTCAGTCTCAAATCCTAGTGATGCCAGTCAGATTTATGCTAAAAAGTATTCTTCAGACCATCATTTTTTGCAGAAAAAAAAAATAACCAACTTACCTCAGTCCTTGCAGACTTTGACAATCACCCTGATTGTCTTAGAAATAATACCTTGCATTTGGTGTGGTTTTGATCGTACGTTTGCCTTTGCAGTTCCCTCCCCACACCACATTCCTTACACTCACATGCTCCTTTCTAAGCAATTATAGCCTAAATGAACCTAAATCCCTCACCTTAGTAAAAGTTATGACTTTCACAAGTTAAAGGTGAAATGTAGTTTGGTCCAATTCTGTTCTGTGCGAGTGTATCAAAAGACCTGTCTTATTGCATAAAAGCCAGAAGAAAAACTTGTATAAAATTTTGACATTTATTTTGTTTGCTATTATGGTTTGTCAGATGTTTCATTACATCTTGGACACCCATAACTAAACAATTTCTAAAGAAAATGGTCTATTTGCAGTCATCTGCTGGAGGCCGGCAGCCAGCACTTCACGCCATTTGTCAGGAAGGTTTTTGCCGTGGAGGCGCAGGGAGCGGTGGGGCTGGGGGCGCCTGGGCAGGGCTGGGGGGAGGATCGGGACTGAGAGCTGCAACTCTGAAATCCGAATAAGGAGAGGACAGAAATGCATGTTACATTAGCTGCTTAATGCCTGGCCAGTGGACTTTGCAATCATTGTTGTAAGGGTAGGAGAATGGCTCAGGAGACCAAAATACTTGGATTTAGAGGTTCAGATTGCTGGGATGTGCTTGTGTTGTGCAAGGAGCAGAGCGAGGGCTCTGATCCTGAGATGATCATTGTGGGAGGGGGAAGCCAGGAGTTAGCCCAAGATGGGAGAGCAGTCTGTTGGAAAGATATTCCTGTGGTGTGGTTGCTTCTCCCAGAGGGAGTATTTGGGTGAATGTGTATTCCAGTAAAGCTCTGTAGCATCTTGACAGTATGGAAAGTGCAGGAAAGACAATGAGACTTGAAACTAATCGACAAGCTTCCGCATGTTTTTGCTGTAAGGGCTGAAAGCCCTGAGGACACGCGGCCAAAGTGTCCATGTCTTGCAGAGATTTCCCCAAGTTCCCTACCACACTGTGTTGCAGTACCTCTACATATCCAAACCTCATTTTGCTGGTTCAGTGGAATTAATCACACGCACTCTATACGGAGCTCAGTAGAATTAATCACCTAGTTTTTACACGGATTCGCTGTGAATGAGGTGGTGTATTAATGTACGGGCAGCCGGGGAACACTACGGTGAATAGTTTCCTGTTAACACAGAGCATCGCTGCTTCTCTTTGAGCAGAGATGACTAGCATAAAAGAACATCTTTCATCTGTGTAAATGCTTTACTGGGGGGCATTGCAGATTGCTCTCAATAGAAATTTTTTTTTCACAGAAACAGAGCTAAAAGGATAACACAAGTAATTGCATTCTCTAGTGCCTCCCAGTGCTTTACATGTTCCCCTCTATGGGGGTTAAAAATCAGCTACTGGCAGCCTGGTGACATTAGTAATTGTAACTAATGGGATTGTTTCTTTTTGTCGGTGTTTTAGGATGGAATGGGGAACCTGAGAATCACGGAAAAGGGTCTAAAGCTCGAAGGAGATTCAGAATTCTTGAAACCTCTCTACGCCAAAGAAATCCGGTCAAGACCAGTAAGTTGTTGGGAAAGGATTAAGCACGTTTATTTCTGTAGCCCTAACTGTACAAACCATGAAGTGGCAGGGTGGTGTGGTTATCGGATAAATTACTTTGCCCATTCTGTACAAATGTGATCTGGGGAGTGAGACAGTGGGTGTCCTTTGGGTACCTCATCCGGATACTGTCTCCTCCGTGCAGTTGCAAGGTTGATGCACGTGGGTTTACTGTGTAGTTAAAATGCTTCCAGGACCTCTGAGATTCCACATTGTTTTTTCGTGTCCTTTTGAGATAATTCATAAACATCCCTCAACTAAGAGACCTGATCTTTCCAGGGTAGAGGGATGGCAGGCAGTTGTGAAATCCAGCTCATGTTTAAGTAGTTACTCCTTTTCTGCAGAGTGGTGATGCCCTAGCACAAGGGCCTGATCTGTTTTTAGCTGGCAAAATAAACCTGTATTATGTGCTCAGTCCTATTTCATGTTGTGTTTTAAAATTATGTGCAGTAAAAATTCAGTGCTGCTAGGAGAGACTGCTTGACAAAAGTGGCAAGGATGTTAACAACTGAAAATGAGAACGAACCCAAGTGTGATTGAAATAGCATTCTCATAGCAGTACTTCATTGACTGTCGGTGACTTTTGCTCTTTCTGATGCAATCCTGTTTGTCCCGAGCTGCTTTAAAATAACTGAAACGATTATAGAGAGTTTCCAGGATCCTTCTGGAAAGATGTCATCTATCTTGTTTCCTGATGCAAAGTGTTAATTTGAGTCAGATACCAACCTTCCATTTTGATAACAATGGCAGATAGCTAATTAAATAAAGTTAACATGCCTTTATCTCAGCATTTCAGTGGTCTTGTAGAAATTGGAACTTGTAGCATAATCAACACAACATCCAATACAATATCCGATTTAATTATTGAAGGTTGTAACCTCAGTACGATGGCTAGGAATTGATGTGAACAAGCAGAATCATTTAGGAAGAAAAGTTAATGAGAAAACATTCGTATCTATAAATGCTTCCATCCCTGAATTACAACAGAACTATAGAACCTTACATGTTACACACTTTATAACATAAAATGTGTGAAAAGGTGCAGCACTCAGTTTGATAAATAGACTGACAAATTGCTACTTCCCTTGCTTCTCCTCTAGTTAGATTGCTGGAAATAATATTTGATTACTAAGAGAACTGAGAACCACTTCCTGCTAGTGGGGAGTTTACTGTTTATGTATTATCCTACTGATCTACATTTTAATACGGCGGGGGGGGACAAAGCTGTCCCCGTCCTGAGGTTATGAAACTAGTTTCCGCACCATTGACAGTGTAGTGAATGCAAGGAACAAGAAATATAAAATAAGGCCTTTGTGTGTGTTCCTTGCATTATCCCACCTCCAGGATTGTTGTTGCTGTTAGCTGGGGAAAGATCTGGTTGCAAGCCAGCAGGTCTGATCTACAGCCTGGTGGGTTGGAGCATCCCTGCCTGCTTCACTAGATAAGTCCTGGAAACTGTGCGAACCGTACGCTGCCATGAACCACGTGCATGGTTTCTCCGACGTCCCAGTGGAGTTAAACTGGAATAGCCTGTGCTGGCATTCGGGTTGCTCACGGTAGTGCTGGAATTACTGCTGGGCTGTGGGTAACAGTGGCAATCCCATTGATTTCAGACAACTGCTTTCTTGTGCTGCGCGTGAATTTGACCTCTTGCAAATGAAAGGGTTGCGGTCAATCAAAGGATGATAGTTACAGAATACTGAATATTATTATTAAATAATCAATGCTGTATTTTTAAAGAACAGTAGTATGAGCCAGTATTCTCTTGGAGGGAAGTGTACTAGCAATTCCTGAACTTGATGAATATTGCTAAACTAAAGTGCCAAACTCAGCACTCAGTGGTACAGATGAACATCCATAATAATTTCATAGTAATCTTCTCTGGGTTTTCAGAATTGCATAATGCGGCTTTAAATATGCAAAGTGTAATAGAAACAATATGACAAATAACAGTTAAGTAAAGAGCATCCCAGAAATAAGCTGACATATAATACTTTTCATGTGTTTAATTAAACAGCCTAGGAGTTGTGTACAGTAATAGATAATGGTTTTATATAAAGCTCAAAAGACTTTCAGACACTCGTTATTTACAGAAGACTTTCATTTTTTAAAAAACTAATTTCATCCCAGTAGAAGGGGCGTTGGTGCTACGGGGAAATGGCAGGGGAAGAATCGCTTCTTGTGTAAGTGGCTGCAGTCCCGTGACCTCTGTGGAGTGGGTTTTCCCACTCGTGTGTCTCTGCAGTGCTGCTCCCCACGCTGCCCTGTAGGCAGAGCTGGGCAACCCCTGCCAAAATATCTCCAAAGGATGAATTGTGATAAGTCTGGAGAGCCTGAATTTGTCACTGGTGCCTCTTCTCTGCTGCACCTCTTAAGTAGCAGGAAGGTGGTAATTAAAAGTACGCACAGACGAGCATTCCGAGGAGTTCCACATAAAAGTGGATTTCTTTTTCAGATTCATTTGGCAGGAAGGGAAGACCAAGGGTTGGAGAAAAGGGAGAGTCTCAAATGTCATCCCAAGAGACTGGCTGTGTGGGAACCTCTGGGCTTCCGTAATTTGTACCTTAAAGAGCTCTAGGTACTGCCCCTTCATCGCTGTTGGGACAGAGCAGCTGCATTTACCTTTTGGAAGGTAACTCATTGCAACTGTAATTACGGCCAAGAAGAGCTGACCCTGTTGTACTGTGGCTTGTAATGGATGACAACCCAACAAAGGCATCCGTCTAGGAGTCCTTTCAAAAATGTTAGCAGAAGGATTGTACCAAAGTGGTCAGTCTCATTCCAGAGAAGTGTCCGTTAAAATTGCTGACACGCACTGGCTTCTTAAAGCTGCTTCCAGCCAGTTTCTTTCTGCATCACCGCTGCCTCCTGCCTCAGGAATGACACCCTCCAGGCTCGCTTTCCTTTTCCCTCACCCATTCAAGTGTGACCCCCCAAATCCCTCTCTCTTCATACAATGAGGGTCTCTATTCCTGTTGGTTCCCCATCCTAGTCCTGGATCAGTGATACTCAGTTTGTAGTGCCTCCTGGATTAGGAGCCTATTTCTAAGCATCAGAGCTTGCAAATAAACACAACCCTGTTACTGCATGTGCCTAAAGTTTATCTGGAGATTAATTAATAGTAACTGGTTGTAACAGTGTTTGCACCTTTGTAGTCTTGTTTTCAAGAAATGAGATAGATGCATTCCCTTTTCCGGGAGTGATCAGAGCATCTTGAACTACCAGCTGAACATATTGCACGCTAAACAGTATTTTCCATGCCACTTGCATGGAACATGAGCATCTTGCTGCCTTTAATTAAGAAGTTAACTGGACCATGAAGTATTGCCTGTGTAAATAAAAGTGATTTGTACTTTGTCAAGGAGGTGCATTAGGAATCCTCACATTTCTTTACTTGCACATAAATTATGGAGATTATTAAAAATTGGAAGGGTCATCTATAAACCCATCTGTAGCTCAGCTGCACTGTCACTCTCAAAATGTAGCTGTCTTTATAACTGTTGTAATTTATTGTTGCCTATCGTGTGAACCATCTGCTTGCTTATAAATCAGACAAACTCTGACTGAAAGTTGCACGCAGCAGCACAAATTGTTAATTTTATGTGCTGGAAAGCAATGGCCACAGTTTGGTGGTCTTCAGTCTTCATTGCCTTAATTTGAATAGAAATTTAACACTGGAAGTTTTCCTGCCTTTGTTGAGAAGAGCTGCTAACAAGCAGGTTGCTTGAAACTTAGAGTAAGCACTGAGGTAGCTGTCTTAGTGCAGTTGGGGTGTTCTGAAGCTGCCACATCCAGGTCTGTAACTTAAAAGGGGCAGGACAGAGAATAGGCTATGTGCATTTTCCATTCCAATAACAACAAAAATAAAATCCTCTGCTGTGATTATACAGGAAACTCAAGTGAATTACTTCTCTCAGGAGCTGTGTGACAACCAATGAGATGATAATCTCAGCTTTTGGAAGCAGGGAAGGACATTGCTGTGATAGGATTAGCATGGGTTTGCCCTTTCAGTGTTCATTGCAAGTACACAGATAGAAAAAATAAACCGCAGTTTGCAAATGTTTATACCTGGGCTTAAATTTTCTTACACTGAATTCTTTTAAAGACAAGTGTATGTATTGGCCTGACCAAGAGCTTTTTGCAATATAAAGCTCTGTACGGGGGTCCTGTTCGTTCAGCTCTTCTTGCAGGTTGTCCTACTGATGGGTGGGTCTGGGAACATAGACCTAAACACGGGCCCCAAACCCTCTTGTCTGTCCTCTGCTACCTGGGGGACCTCCAAGCGATTCTGTTGGTGTACAGGTGGGAAGTGATGGCAAAATTCACTGAACAGCTTTTGAGGAGATTTTAAATGTCTTTTAAGAGATCTCTGTGTGTTTAGCCTTCATGCTGAAGGTGGTCTGCTTCCCATTATTTTTAATCAACAGAAAAAAGAATTTAAAAGAATAATCCCATACAGCAAAGGGGAAAAAAAAAAAAGCCTGAAGCAAAGTACAGTGGTTTGTTTTTGGTGTTTTGGGGTTTTTTTTCCTTTCTTTGGGTGATGTTAGAGGTCTCTATCCTGCTCCCTGTGGCAGTGAGAGCAACGTGCTTGCTCAGAGCGTTGGAGCAAGCCTGCTCTCATTTGAAGCTTTTCGAAATAACTAGTGACTACAGTGGGAGAAGGACTGGGCCTGTCATTAACACTTGGCTGCGATTCTGCAAGGGCATCTGTTTGGCCTAAAAAATTCACAGTTGTGAATTAGGGCTGATAACTGCTATTCCCTTTACTGGTGTTTAGTAACTTCTCATCAGCATAAAAGCTAGACTAGCAAGTGCATAAAATATGCTTGTCTGTACTTTACATTTTCCCCAGCCAGTATTTGAATGATAGAAATTTTAAAGGAAGCTTTTAAGAATGATAAATAATTATTTTGCCAATGTACTTGTCTCACTGTGTTCAGATCTGGAAGAAGAGGGGT